CTGCCCTGAGCCCCCTCGTACAGCCCGCACCCCTCACCTAGCCATGCAACTTCCTCATCTAGATGTGGCCCTCAGGCCAAAAAATATGACCACCCCTGTACTAGAACTTATTTGTTTTTTTTTTAAACTAAGAAATTACACAGAAAAGAACTGTAAAAAAGAATGTTAAGTGACAAAGTCAAGCACTAAATATTCAGGAAATGCCTGAAACTTAGTTGCCTGTATAGCTGGTGAAAAACAAAAAGGGCATGAAGCACTTCTGCCATTTCTACATTTTCTGTTATTGTCTTCCCCTCCCCCTCCCCCCTCATTGAGCCTATCCTCTCCGTGGTCTTCCTCTTGCTTCTCACGTATTTGTGGAATGTTTTCTGTTACCCTTTCTTTCTCTAGCTAGTTTAATCTCATTTTGAGCCTTGGCCTTTCTAATTCTGTCCTTATATACTTGTGTTTTTTTATATTCATCCTAAGTAATTTGACATAGTTTTAACTTTTTGTAGAACTCTGAGTTTCAGATCATTGAAAATCTCCTGGTTAAGCCAGGGTGGTCTCTTGCCATACTTCCTATCTTTCCTATGCGGTGGGATAGTTTGCTTTCGTACCCTTAATCTCTTTGAAAAAGTTGTCAACTCTCTCCCATTGTTTTCCCCCTTAGGCTTGCTTCCCATGGGATCTTACCTACCGGCTCCCTGAGTTTGCTAAAGTAGGTCTTCTTGAAATCCATTTTCTTTATTCTGTTTTCCCGCCTTCCATTCCTTAGAATCATGTACTCTATCATTTCATGATGATTTTCACCCACGCTGCCTTCCACTTTCAAATTCTGAACCAGTTCCTCCCTATTTGTCAAAATCAAATCGAGATCAGCCTCTCCCCTAGGGGCATTCTCCAGCTTCTGAAATAAAATACTGTCTCCAGGGCATTCCAAGAACTTCTTGGATAATCTGTGCCCTGATGTATTATTTTCCCAAGAGATGTCTGGGTAGTTGAAGTCCCTCATCAATACCAAGTCTTGTACTATGGATGATTTTGTTAGTTGTTTTAAAAAAAGTTTCATGCACCTCTTCTTCCTTGCTAGGTGATTTATAGTAGACCTCTACTATGACATTCTTTAAAAACAAACAAACAAACAAACCCCCCACAACCTTTTATCCTTACCCAGAGACTTCCAACCAGGGCCGGCTCTAGGCACCAGCAAAACAAGCTGGTGCTTGGGGCGGCACATTTTTAGGGGCGGCATGGCCGGCGCCAGAATGCCGCCCCTAAAAATGTGCCCCGGCCACCCTAGCTCACCTCCGCTGCTGCTGCCGCTACTCGCCCTCCCTCCCAGGCTCTCAAACCTGGGCGGGAGGGGGGAGATCCCGAGCGGCCGCGGCGCGCGAAACAGCCGTTTCGCACGCCGCTGCTCCCCCTCCCTCCCAGGCTTGAGAGCCTGGGGGGAGGAGGCAGGGAAGGGGCGGAGTTGAGGCGGGGCCGGGGGTGGGCAAAATTGTTTTCGCTTTGGGAGGCAAAAATCCTAGAGCCGGCCCTGCTTCCAACAAGTCTGTCTGCTATTTCCATCTCAACCTCAAATGTACTTAAATTCTCTGGGTGACTGGGAGGTGATTCTATGGGTGCCTTTACTGGGCGTAAAGTCTTACACCTCTGTTCCTGGTAAACTGGTTGAAATGATAATTAAAAATAGAATAAAACATTTGGAATATCATGCTATGATAGGGACTAATCAGCACAGTTTCTGCAAAGGAAGATTGTGCCTCACTAATTTATTAGAATTCTCTAAACGTCAATAGATTAATGGATGAAAGAGAACTAGTTGACAGGAGGAACAGAGATTTGATAATAAAGGAGGACTCTCCAATCCAGAAGACAAAGGTTTAACTAAATTCAATGGCTGGAAGTTGAAGCTGGACAAATTCAGACTAGAAATAAGGCACAAATCTTTAACAGTGAGGGGAATTATCTACTAAAACAACTTACCCAGGGTTGTGGTCAGAGCTTAATTTGTGCCGGGACTCAGCCATGGCACCTCTTCTGGTGGCGTGCAAGGCATGACCTCACACGTACAATGCTTGTGAGGTCTATCTATGATTCTATGATTCTATGTCACGCTGTGCGGCAGACACCATCTTTATTGCTTGAGACCAGGGATCTTTTTATTTTTTTTAAAAAACAAATTAAACACCGGTTGTAGTGGATTCTCCAAAACTAAAACTAAAAACTTTTTCAAAAATCTATACTGTAGTTCAAACAGGAATTAATTCAGGGTAGTCCTGTGGCCTGTGTTATACAGGTCAGACTAGATGATCACAAAGGTCCCTTTGTACTTTAGAATCTATGAATCAGTTTATTTAAACTTTTGACAGGTCTTTGATAAGGTCCATCCTAACAGGCTATTAAAGAATCTAAGCAGTCAGGGCTAGAGGCAAAGTATTGTCATGAATCAATCACAAAGGTTAACAGCCGAGTGCCTCGAAGTTCCACAGTAGGCCCAATGTTTAATATATCAAACTAGAAAAGGGGGTGGGCACAGTGAGCTGGCAGAATTTTCAGATGACAGTTCTTTAGGATAATTAAGTCAGAGAAAGCTGAGAAGCTACAGAGGGACCTAACCAAGCTTCAGAGACACAAACTATGCCAGAATTAGTGTTGCACATGCAGCCTTGATTCTAGCATTTTTTTTTAACTTGAGCACTTGACTTCTAGCACAGACACTTGGTCCTATATGCTACAAGGTTTATTCACTCAAATCCAATTTCTATCTTTCACATAAAAAAAATACATT